TAAAGAAATCCATGTTCCAAACAAACTGATTAACTTCACACTTGAAGTTATTTCAAGAAAGAAATTGCAGCACTTGCAATGGTACAAAATAAACAAACATTGATTTCACAAACTGAGGCTCTGATTTGAAAATGAAGAGTTTGAGCGATTCTGGGATAATGTTCAAAATGGCACCTTTAATTAAGACTCTGGATCAATCAGAGCAGCTTCATAGAGGTTCCTGTTACTTAACCCTTGTATTATGTTGAAAAAAAATTACATTGATTATGTTGCGGGTCATTTTGACCCGTACTGTGTAAATGCACTCAAAACAGTCAAGAAAACAGGTTAAACCAATAACAACTTTATTTTAGGTTATATAAATATTTAGAAAAGTGACATACAATACATTTTTTATTCCAACGATATATTTAAGAAATATTTAGTCTAATCTTCTTGTCCTCCTCTCAGGTCAAAATGACAATTCTTCCCTCCTTTCCTCCTGCCATGCTTTCTCCTTCCTTTTTCTCATCCTGTTTTCCTTCTCTCTGTTCATCCTTCTCTATTCCCTTCTTTTCTTTTCCTTCCTTCCTTCCTTTCTCCCTTCTTTCCTTCCTACCTTCCTTCCTTCCTCCCTTCCTCTTTACTTGGCCAAAGATTCGTCCTCTGAATCCTCCTTATCGTAAGAAAATTGATCATCTGGATCAGCAATAACATTGTCCTGTCTCTGAAAAATCCTCTTTTTCTGAAATCTCTTCCTCTACATCAGGGGTGCTCAATACGTCGATCGCGATCTACCAGTCGATTGCGAAGGTAGTATTGGAAGATCGCATTAGATTAAAAATAAATGAAATATCCGTTTATGCATTTGCGTGTGGACAGGGATAACCGGAGTTTTGCGTTTTTGCACGCCACAGTATGCCCCCAAAACAACAACAATAAACAAAACGTGCGACCTCTGATCACTGAAGCATGGATCATACTGCCTTAAAAACTGTTCTCTGCTGCAGCGGAGTGATCACCCACGCTCGAAAACAACCAAAACAGGAGCTAAACCAGGATCAAACCAGGGCTGAGGACTGGGGTCAATGCTTGTAAACATATGTCTTCACCATGGATCTATAATAACACGTCTTAACCCAGAGTTTCTACTATGACTGTAAGTGCCGCTACAGAACGAAAGTTACAAATAAAACTGCGGCTCTATGAATCCTGGATGACCGCCAAAATGTAAATGATTTCATAAATCATGCGGTTTTGCATGTACATCAACCTACATTGTAGATTTAAAGAATCCTCAATATATTTAGAAAGAAATATATGTTTTGCATTTTTGTAGTAGGTAGATCATTTTGACTTGATCATTTTATAAGTAGCTCGCATGCTGAAAAAGTGTGAGCACCCCTGCTCTACATCATTATCCCAGTTAAAAATCTGTGATAAAGCCTCCTCAGATGTCCTCCTTCTGGAGCTCATTTTTGGTGAGTTTGTCTAAAGCCTAGCATTGCCTAACTAGTTGCAAGACGGCTTCTGGCAACTGAGAGTAAATGATGGGAGATGATCAGTTGCCAAAATCGGTTGATGTGAGCGCTCTTACAACTGGAGATAAACAGTCGATCTCCGGATTCAGTCAGTTGCCCGTGTTCTACTTTTCGGCAACTAGTTGTCCTCAGATCCGGAGATATCACCCGATGTGCACGCTCCGTGGCGCGCTCCAACAACGTGTGTATTGCGTGTATTGCGCCCTCTACAGTTTATGTCAGAAAACACACTGTAGGTGAAGCCAGTTGCTGTCGATGTACGCGCTGTTATTCCCGAAACTGGCCTGCTACTAGGAGTTTCCCGTTTTCGTCAGATTGTCGATGTGTACGGGGCAGCAACTCAAAGGCGACGGATATATTCAGTTGCCAGTACGATGTACACTAGGCAAAAGAGATGAGATGAGAACAGTGACAAGGACAAGTGTGAGAAAGTTCCCTTTCTTCACACACCTGGCTCTCAGAGGTAATCAAAATAAAATGTCAAAGAGACATGTTTTTTGGATCTGAACAACTGTTTACCCACATTAAAGCGTCAGGGTCAAAATGACCCGCAACATCATCTTTGTATACAAACTCTGCACAGACATTCCACTACACATCAAGGTGTCCAGATTTTACACACCTGTTCATGACCCTAGATGAGGAAAAGTCACCAAATTTCAGGAAGAAAAAGAAAGGATAACCAGTACTTTGATCAACACAAAAACTGAAATGGGTCAAATGGACCCTTAACATAATACCCGGCAACGGATAAAGCGGAAGAAAATGGATGGATGGATGGAACATAATACAAGGGTTAATAATGAGGTGACATTAATACAGCACTGCTGTAATACCATTGTTCAAATTCAATTACAGAATTTGGGGGAAAAAGTGTGAGGACGAAGGAGTAATTAATCAGTCACAAGGACAGAAGCTTTTCATGATTAATATCATGGGAGTGGACTTTCTTCAGTTCTAACCTGTCTAGTCACAACATTGTCCCAAGGATCTTCACAAGGCTCTGTCCCTCGACCCCTGTATACCTCTACAAGGCCTTGCATAATGTACACCGCTGCATACAGACATTGACTTTACAAAGAAATTAAATAGATTACATTCATTTGGTCAGTAAATGAAAAGCAGCATTTCACATCCAAGGACTTCTACATGTGTGTCTATGTACGTGCACACTTCAAGTGAAGGTGTGTTAAATAGAGCTTCTCTACTGCTTAAAAATCCTGAAATCATACAAAAGACAAGAACAATTTGGTGATAGCCATTTTGCATTTGGAGCAGACCACCTCTTGAAGCTGAGAGAAAGCAGCACAAGTGAATAGAGCTTAGATCCAGCACAGTGTGTCTGGGCAGATGGATGTCGCTCCAGATGACACAACATGCTGCTGATGAAAAACATGCCACTGTTTTTAGATGGCCGCTTTGCACAAGAAAAAAGCATGTCACCCCAAATAGAAACAGAAATGTGGGCACAAAAGAAGGGGGAAAGTGAACTAAACACTATAACCAGGAGAATTCAGCACTTGTTGCCACCTCTCTCTCTATTCTTGCTCCACAACATAAAAGGAAACAACTTAGGACCATATTTGGCAGTCGATCGGATGTAACTAACGAATAAGGAGACACACAGACTTCTGACATCACGGCTCTATATCTTCAATCTCTTGACCTAAACTAAGTCTGTGAACACGCAAAAGAGCCGTGCATGCAAGACAGTTTAACTATCACTCAGAACTGGACGTGTGGAAGGAAGAATAGGCAAGAATTCTTACAAACTAGAAAGAGTCTTTATGTGGGTGTCTAGACTTCTACACCCCACTGTATCTTAAGCAAGCTTGCCCCTTCTATGCAAACAGTCAATGCAAAAACGACATTGCGACCCCCCAGCTGTTATGTCAACGCAGGCACGAGTTCAATCGGGGCCCCTTCTTGACACATGTGAATATGTAAAGCTTTTTGAATATGCATTTATGAATATGAGCTAACTCCCCTTTACAAGAGCACAGCTGTTGTTGAGCAGTGCATTTACAAGGAAACATGTGTTGGCCCCTAGCGTGGGTTATCACTGGTCAGACAGGTGAAGGCGAGAGGCCAAGTGCTGTCCATTATGTCTGGACAATACCTGTAGGCCGGTGACCAAAACACCAAATAACAAGGGAAAGGAGAGAAAAAAACTGTTTGAGAGCATCATTTATCACTGCTCCATCTCTCCAAAGACTTGTATTTCCTATTAGTTAAATTATTAATCCACCTCCTACACTCTTCATATGAAAGACACGCTCCTGCCTCTGCACTGATTTTCTCCCAGAGCAATGAAAAGAAACATCACAGCAACAACTTTCAAAATGTTTCAAACAAAAAAGTGTTGTAAAATGTAAAGCAAATAAGGAGGATTGCCCCAGTGTGTTCTAAATGATAATGAAGCATATGGGGCATTAGCATGCATGTGTTACTGTATTATTACAGTGGGTCCGAAGGTCACACAGGCTGCTGTTTATCACACAGGATTGGATTCATTTAACATCAAAGGACAAAATAAACAAAAGTATCTAATAAAGTGAGTTTGCCATTCACATACAGTACAATGGTCCAGGTTAGATTCATCAATACTTGCGTTTCATTATATCAAAGGGATTGGCACTATTGTATACTAGTTTGCAATAACAGACTCGTGCAGCCTTTAGACAACAAGTGCATCACAGCATAGATCCAACTGAGTCAAACCTCTTTAACAGATGCAGAAGATACAACTGTAGTGATCCCAACATGGTCCAAACCCAGCTTTAGTAAACTCAGAGTCACATTTAAATGAAACCTTTTAAACTTAACTTGAAGGCATTGTGCTTAAGGCTGCAGTCTCTCATTAGACTAATACAGACACAAGTATAATGCAACAGCGTGGTGCTCCACCACACAATGGACACCGGGGATTCATCCCGCTTCAGTCCGAGAGCAGCGCTGGGAGTCCGGCACAGGTCAGGGGCTGCCCCGGAGTGCGCGGATGCTTGAAAGTTGAATATTGGGACCAAACTTTTGATCGCTAAAAGTGAGTTCGTATAAGTAGGTGGTTGAATCGGAACGAGCTCAGCATCCTGCTGCAGCCTCTGTGCACAAACAGGCGGATTGTGAAAAGTCATGTTTTACGCTTAAAAAGGTGGAAAACTGACAGTGATGCGTTACTGCATAAACATGCACAATGTCTTCCAGCGACATTACAGCTTTTCCAAAGCGCCGCTAAGTTTTAGAAGTTGCTTCACACAAACATGTGATTTCAGAACCGCAGCAGAGAATGAAGTCCAAAGTTTCAGTTACGCATCTCCAAAGGTTACCAAGGAGACGCACGCGCTGAGCGCACACCGGACTTTTGCAAATAAAACTAGTTTAGTTTCCCAAAGTTGGTCTCTTGGCGCGCCCCCTCGCCCCTCCTGAACACACAGGTACAAAGTGTAGAATAAAACAGGCTCACACACGCATGGCACTTACTTTTCTCTCGCCTGGTTATCGGAAGGGACGACAGCTCCTTTACCTTTGGCGTACATGCTGGATTCTGTTTTAAGACTTTTGCCCCACTCAACACCTGTCAAAGAAAGCAGCCAGGAAAACGCTCCATCTCCATAGCTACCCCTTTAGTGTTTTTCCTCCCTCCCCCCGGCTTCTCCTCCTCCTCCCGCGCGCCTCTCCCTCCCTCTCGGAGCGCGTCTCTCTCTCCTTTTTTTTTTTCTTTTTTTTTTACATCTCCAACATTGGCCACAAATCAGGCACAGTTTCTATTGGGGGTACTTGAAACCGTCCTCTGGTGGATTTTTTTCCCCTCCTCAGCCGCTGTTCCGCAGGCCTGCCTGTCCTCCCTCCTCTGTGCGGGTGGTGGGGGTTTCTTAAAGGGGAATGCACATTTCTTGTTTACTGACCTCAGAAATATGAGCAGAGATGGAGTTGGCAGAGAACAGGCCCTGCACCACGGGCAGCGCATGTCAGGGCATAGACTATTATGTACATTTACATGAGTAGTGCTGGTAGGCTATTGTAAAACTGCCAAACCTCCGGATCACATGGTTTCAACTTGCAAATGTGGAGGTAGTGATGAAAGATATAGGAAATTCCATGGAAAATTAACACTTACAATTTAATACATATGTAGAAGATGTTTTGTGATAGTCAGCTATGGGGGCTACGGCGGAGCACCACGCACCTCAGCTGGCACCTACCCATGTGTGCAGTGTTGGGACCAGTGGGGGTGGGTCCTGGCTCAAAAGTGGCCAAAATGACGTGTGCTGACATGCTGCAATACCACCCCGGGCCGATGGGGGTGGACCCGGAATAAGAATTAGCCAATGCTAACATATAGCATCTTCTTACCTCTCAAAAAAGTCTTTACAGGATGGTCCAAAAGTTGGCTCATGGCCCAAAGCTCCGTTCCACATGTGTGTCAATGCTGAGGGAGCGTTCTGGACCAGTCTAGTTTACTTGCTGTGAATTTTTGAAGTCTCTCGTTCAAATGAATGGAGCTTACGCCGGTCGACGCATGCACAGATGCGTTTTTTCACAATTTTCTTGTGGGCGGGACCACTCGCGGCCATTTTGGATAGCTCCAGTAGAGGACTATTTTTGGCCCATTATTTAGAACGGCGGAGATAGGTGTGACTCTGTCCGTTATTTTTTACAGTCTATGGTTGGGCCTGGTGTACACGGACTTTGCTTTCAGCGTGGCGCGTTTTAGATTGTATGTAGTGCAGACTCTGGTCAACTGAGGTGCAGTTTTGCTAAAGGCTGCATGGCACTGGTGGAAATATTATCAGTCCAGCAACCCTCACTAAAGTCAGAGCCGTTGTCAGGTCCACGGGGATTAACTTACTAAAAAAGTATTTACTTACTTAGGGCACAGTCACATAGGTTTTCACAAACAAACTAGGCCAAGTGGCCCGGATCGTCGCCACAGGGGTGTGAAGACGACCCGCGGCCACAAGGGTTTCTTTTTTCAACTGTGCCAGACCATTTGTGCTGTTGTACAACGCTTGGTCCAGCTGGTGGCGCTAATACTAACTTCAGCGACTACCTCAGGGTTTGAGTTAAGTTTCCGTTTCTCTTCCTGTTTACACTAGGCCACTGTGCACCAACTGAGCATTGATCGCATTATTTGTAATCAGAGTCAGTGTGAAGAATAGTGAGATGTGTCATATTCTGATGTGCAGAAGCTTAGTGGGTAACGTGTGTGTGCGGGCGCACGGCGGACACGGGAGTGCGCCTTGGAGTAAACGCTGTGAGTCTGAGAAATGAATGAATGAAAATGAAAGAATGAAAAGTGTGGCGTACGAGCAGATCGACCGGAGCAGGATACAAGTATTTGTCGGTGTGTTTTGGCCACAAAATAAAATCGGATTCTTTAATAACAGTTTGAAGTGTTATTGAAATAGCACCACACTCTGACAGTGCGGGTCAGAACAGAAGGGAGCTATCCCCCGTAGGAAACGCATCCTTGCGCCCCTTTACCACGGTCTGGGGGCTTACATGAAAGACAAGCAGGGAGGATGCGAAAGTGTGCGACTGCTGGGACAGGCATGGTTGAAAATGCACGTCACAGCGGGCGCAGCAGGAAGACGTAATTTGACGCACAATATTCCTTCCCAACCACACCTCATGCCCCACTCCCCACCACCCACCTCATTGACCCCCCTCGTCTGGCTTTACAACCGTGCTCAGGCCCACCTCTCCCAATTGTGCCCAAGCATGATTGCAGCAACCATGCTCAATCCCAGTTGCCGTGGTCACCGAGCATCTAAAGCCTTGACCTACCGCGATCTGGGCCTAGGCGCACTTTAACTGGGCTTTAGGCTGTGCCGCAGCCCTACTTACTAACGTAAGGACAGCTGTCAATCAATAGGAGACCAGAGCACACCGCAGCAGAGATTGGCAATATTAGACCCAGCATACCTGCACCTTGACCCCAACAGTCTACGTCCAGCGTGGGACCTTATCATCTAGAAAGACTACAGTCACTGTAAGTGTGAGCCAGAAGAAAAGTTAGAACAAAGAAAGTTTCCCTTCTGGCTTTCATGTGATGTCACATATTAGCATCTGCCAAGCACAGAATATTGTTGTGGGATTCAAGGGTTCAATAAGTGAGTCCTGGGTTTTTCTTGTCCCAGGTTCACTTGCATTATTCAATCCAAAACTCCTGTTTTAACCCTAACCCTAAACACACGGCCTGCCCCATCCCCATGCAACCACCAGAGGGAGAGGTGACATTTGTTTACCAAAAAAAGTTTTGTTTTAGATGGTGGATGATTTTCAAAAGTCATCCATAATTGAGGAATGTGTCAAACCAAATTGAGCGAAAGGTATTAGCCATAGCAGAACGCGGTTAACCACCAGGACTGAGGAATGCACCTTTAATTACACTCACACAATATCAAAACTCATTAACCTTATTTATAATTTGCATCTTTCATGGGGGGTCAATTTCAGCCTCATCCTCGAGTCTCATCTAAAAGTAGAAAACACACTTGCATGTCATGGCATTGCACTGCGATGCGACTGCTTTCATCTGCTACAAAAAGCCTGAACTCCTCTGTGCTGTATGTCTCGTTACGTATCATCTGTGCTCCAAAGTCAGAGATCAGTGTTTTTTCCACACAGGTCAGCCTCGATCGCCTTGGCTTTATGTGGGATCAGCATGGGAGGCTTTTTCCCCTCCGCTGTGATGACCTGTCGTCTGCCCGCATCAATCTCCTTTCAGCAAACTTAATGGAGTGCAACAGTGGTCAGACTTATGTGACACATTGTTTTGTAGTCAGCCGGACCACTCTCATCCATCGGACTGTCTTCATCATACACCAGTCTTCCAGCTTTTTATCCTGCTGTAGGTCATTCTCACAGGTCACTAAAACCACACACCTGTCCACCAAGTGTTGCCACGTACACGCACAGTAGTCACCAGGACGTTTGTGTAATTCAGACCAGGGCAGATTGCTTCCAGAGGCCATACACAGCTTTTATTCATGTGTCCTGTCCACTAAAATGTGCACCCAACCACGATTTGATCAGTAAGTAAGTGAGTAAGGAAGTAATATTCATTTTGATAGTGCCTTTCACAGACCAGAGACACAACACGCTTTACAGTAAGTGCTACCATTGCATGTTACCCCTCATTTTGATGCTAATAGTCTCAGGAAAACACTGAAATTATGCATTTTTATCTAAGAAATTAAATAAAAATGTTTGATGATTCAAAAATGAAGTCAGAGAGGACTAGTTTTTTCAGTCCCTGGTGTTGAATCTTGGAATCTAGTGTGGGGGGATCCTGTGTTGGGAAAACATGAATCTGTCATCTGTCTATACCCAGCCTGCTCTACATTTGGTCCAGTTTTGGTTCAGTCCAAGTCAAACACAACAAATTTGGCTCAAAAAATAACAGCCAATAAATACCCTCAATCAATAACGATAATCATAATTTGGTTAAAACAAAATGATGCACCGTAACAAACTTTCCACAAACAAAAATAAAGCTCAGAATATCTTGAGTTGTGTGCCATGTTTTTCTCTTCTTTAAATTTAACATTTGGATAAATTATCAAATATTTTCATTAATCAGTTATCCCTTTGTTAAACCTTTAGTTTTTTGGATCGCAGATATGTGATTTTTAAGTAAAATAGTAATCTCTTCATTTCACAGAACAAGGCGCTTTACAATTCATTTGAACCAGCAGACTCCATCCACTCCACTCAGCCACGTCCAGGGCTGCACGGTGGCTGAGTGGATAGCACTCTCGCCTCTCAGCAAGAAGGTCCTGGGTTCGAATCCCGGTCGGACCAGGGCCTTTCTGAGTGGAGTTTGCATGTTCTCACCGTGTCTGCGTAGGTTTCCTCCGGGTACTCCGGTTTCCCCTACCACTAAAAATATGTCCAATAGTTCTGGCATGCGCTTCCTGTACTGGCCGCTCCCATCTCTGTGTGGAGTGAGAGACAAATGCCCAAAATTAACAATTGTAAACCGCTTTGAGACTCAGATCTGCAGTGAAAAGGCGGTATATAAATAAAAAACTTACTTACTTACACACAGTGATGACAGAACTCTCTGTCACAGCGACGCCTCTGACCGTCACCATCCAGTCCCTCACTCTTTACATTCACAGCAAGAGTACATGTTTGTATTAGCAGGGGAAACCGGAGCACTGGGAGGAAACCGGAGCAAACATGGGGAGAACATGCAAATTCCACACAAAAAGACCCCGTCTGGAGGTGGAATCAAACCCAGAACAACCTTTTTTTTTAATCTAAAATATTTTTAAAACCTGCTTGAGGACATTCTATTAGATAATATTTCCAGATAAAACAATTATGCCGTTATGTGTAGCGATAGCATATTTAGAAGTATAATACATCTTGCAGGCTCTTACCTTTTACCTCTCTAAGTGGTCGATAGTTGAGTACAATCTAGAGAGTCAGGCCTGTGAAGCCCGGGAAGCCCCTGTGATCAAAGATGCCGGCGTATACTATTGCCACTTTAATTGCCACTTTTTATTGTACATAATATATCCTGCAT